GGCTCGGACCAGAATGGAGAACCACCCGCTCGCTCCTTCGCGCCCACGGACGAATTTCGGAGATGCACCTCTGCGCCGAGCTCCATGCTGAACAACAGGATGGACCTGTTTGAAGAAAGACAACCAAGAAAACAGCAACCATTAGTCTTCTACACTCAACGAAGGCACGACAACAACTACAACCGATGCGGCAGGCAAGATCAACGCGACAACAGAGGACTCACCATTGTACCGCCGTTCTGCCACAACTGCCTAACATCGGGACACTCCAAAGTCAACTGCACACGTCCCCGAGCTTATCGTCCAGTAGACCCACAAGTCGCTTCCACTCAAGAAAGTCCGAATATCATCAACTGCATGGTACACATCGACAACTGCGCACCCGGATCACCACCCACTTACGCTCTAGATGAAGAAAAAGTGTCGACGCCGCGCTCACAAGGACTTCAGGTCAACCCAACATATGCTGCAGTCGCCAACTCCGAACCCACCGGGCGAAACACCTGGTTCTTGGACAGTTGTTGCGGCCAACATATGTGTTCTTCCAGGCGCTTCGTGCAACGAGAACGACGTCTCAACCGAGATGTCATCATCACCGTCGCCAACAACGAGAACCTGAAAACAAACAGACTCGGACTCCAACGAATTTCGCCTATACCACGGGAAGGGCGGCCTCTTCATCGGTCGCGCTCTACTGAAGTCCGGCGTCTTCGTGTTGGACTTCGTCCCCGACCGCGGAACCGCCGACAGCGATGGCATCGTGTCATTTGCCGCGTGGACGCAACCACCCGGATCTTGACCCCGACTTCAACAAAGATGGATACTGGTACTCCAACACCATACCTGCAGCAGAAAGAACATGGGCATTAGCAGTCATGCGACAAGAAAGACAAGTACCGGCAAGCGTCTCTTCATCGACATCACATGAAATCATAGCAGCAGGACCCGGCCGAGTATCATCACCAGCAATCCGAGGACCGCCAACCGAAGCAGATCAACTTACGCCCATCACACGCGAAGTCTGCTGAAGTCCCGCCACCGTCGTCGCGCTCTTCTCCAACACCGACATGTACCACCACTCGCCCGGCCATCGAGCTCCCGACGACATCTGGCACCAACGCCTTGGGCATCCTGCAAACAGCACGGTACTACAAACCATCCAAACCGAAGTGTTTGAAAGAAACGCTCTCCTTACAACAAGTGGACAAGAACTTCGACAACCTCGCGCACGGTGCTTCACATGCCCCGAAGCAGATCTTCAGCACCAACCTTTTCCGTCACATCACAATCTAAGCGCACCTGCATACGCACCGATGGAAAAGGTTTACAGCGACATCTTAAACATGCCTCGAGACGACACTGAAGCCGACTTCAACTATGTCATCACGTTCATCGATGCAGCAACAAGATATGTTTGGCACTACAACCTGAAGACGAGAGACCAAGCTTTCGAAGCCTTCAAAACGTGGCTCCCCATCGCTGAACGAGAATCATGAACTAAGCTCAAAAGCTTCCAGTCAGACGGCGCACTGGAATACCAGTCACAACGCTTCAGGACCTACTTGGCGGAAAGAGGAATCAGACGCCTGGTGTCTCTGCCCTACGCTCACCAGCAACAGGGGGTCGCAGAAAGAATGAACCGGACCTTGCAGACGACGATGTGAAAGCTGCTCCTGGGGATGAGACTGCCCAACACACTGTGGCCAGACGCGATGACACATGCAGTCCATCTGCACAACCTGTTGTCCTCGTCATCGCTTCCCAACAACGCATCACCGCACCTACTGTGGACACGGAAAAGGGGCAGCACAAAATTACTTCGAGTTTTCGGCTGCATGGTACAGTACAGACCCCACACAGCCCGAGCAGGACGCTTCACTCAACGAGCACGGTGGGGACTACACCTCGGCATCGCCAAACATTTTCAAGCATGGAAAATCCTCGACATACAAGACAAAAATACGGTGGCATCACGTGATGTTATCTTCTACGAGCGACTGACGCTGCAGCATTACCTGGACAACATTGCCAACACACACGACCCCACCGACGGCCTCGCGGGCCTTCGTTCCTTCGCCGACCGTGCTGCCGAGGCTGACGCAGAAGAAGAAGACGTACCTGGAGCCTCGGAAGCTGCCGGACCACTCCCTTTCTGTTCCGTACCTGTTCCACTCGACGAAGACAATCCTCTCGATAGCAACAACCTCGACACCCTCTACCACTTCGCTGACCAAGGTTACGTTACACCTCACCCGGTCGACACGAATATCTCAGAACGCATCGGCCCCAACTTCTTACCTGATCCAGAAGATGGTGACGAAGCTGCCTGTTCCGGGAATGAAAATTCCCCTCGATACACACCCACGGGACTGCAGATCCTCGGCTTATGGGTCTCCGTCCAGCACCCGCCGCCGCCATCTCCGCGCGAGCCAACGACTCTGTCGTAGGCTCTGGGGGGGGAACATAAGGCGAAATGGAAGGAGGCAATGGAAAAGGAACTGAAAGCTCTGCAAGACCGAAATACATGGAAGCTGGTACCTGCAACGAACACCAACGGGAAGAACGTTCTCTCGGGGAAATGGGTGTACCGCATCAAGACCAATGCGGACGGCTCCATCGAATGATTCAAGGCTCGCTGGGTCATACGAGGATTTGATCAACGATACGGAACCGACTACACAGAAACATTCGCCCCAGTCTCTCGTCACACCTCCTTGCGCATCCTACTCGCCGTTGCGGCCACGAAGAAACTACCACTACGCCAGATCGACGTCGCAAATGCCTTCCTGTACGCACCTGTGGACGCCGAAATCTTTGTCGAGCAGCCCCACGGATTCATCGACGACCCCACAAAAGTATGCCAGCTGACAAAATCCCTTTACGGGATCAAGCAAGCCCTGCGGCTCTGGCAGCAGCACCTTCACGGTCGCCTCGTCAGAATCGGATTCCTACAGCTGCCGCATGACCAAGGCATGTACCGACTACAAAAGGAAAGGGAATTTATCCTACTCATCGTCTACGTCGACGACCTGCTCTACATCTGCTCCACTACTGACATCGCCACCTGGTTCGAAGGGGAGCTAAAAAGGGACTTGACACTCACGGTGTCAAACACCGTAACCCAGTACCTTGGTCTGAACGTCGTCGAAGACACCTCGGCGTTCTACTTATACGCTGGAAAATACGCAGGCGTGGTCGCAAAGAAGTTCGGACTAACACCAACTACAGTCGCGACTCCCTACCGCTACGGGAACAACAACGACACCTCCGCGAAACTCCTCGCGAAGCAAATCCGGGAATATCAGCCGAAGCTCGGCTGCCTACTATTCGCAGCAGTAACTTGCCGACCTGACCTATCCTACAGCGCGAGCCAGCTGGCGACGCATCTGAAGTAGCCGGAACAAGAAGATCTCGAAGAACTAAACCGGGCACTACTCTACTTCGTCTCTACGCCGACGACCGGACTTACCTACAGCAAAGTAACAACACCATCCGTACAACTACTCGGATACGTCGACGCCGACCACGCGGAAGACAGGGAAAATCGACGATCGAGAACGGGCTACGTCTACCGACTAGAACCTATCGGGACTATCTCCTGGCAGTCGAGCAAGCAGGAACTAATCGCACTATCTTCGGCTGAAGCAGAATATATCGCCCTCTGTACTGCGACCAAGGAAGGACTCTACCTGCGAGAGTTGCTCGAGGAAGCGAAGATTGCGACTCTGCCTGTCTTCTCACTCCTCTGCGACAACCAATCTGCAATCAAAATCGCGAACAAGGACGGCTTCGCCAACCGAACTAAGCACATCGCCCTGCGGTATTTTTTCGTCAAAGATGAAATCGCGAAGGGGAGACTTGAACTCAGTTACTGCCCTACAACAGAAATGGCCGCAGACTACCTGACGAAGAAACTGGCGAAGGCAAAATTCGATTACTGCATGCTGCTGACCGGGAAGACAAACGTCACCGGATCCAAGCACGTCAACACTCCAGAAACGAAGGGGAGTGTTGGAAATATCTCAAGGACTTAAGCGTTTCTGAAGTGTAAACATCACACTCGAGGAAGATCGTAACGAGTACGCGAGTCAACGGAGGTTGCACGAGGGGATGGACAAAGAATACAAAAAGGACTCGAAGGGTCGCAACCGGAGGTTGCGACTGACCGTTACAACTGCAAGAATGGTAACCGAAGCGACAATCGAGTCGCTGTGCGATTCGATAAACCGTCCTTCAACTGTATTCTACAATTGCTTGTTTTCTACTTTCTATATATTGCTGTATGCTTGTTCTCTTTAATCAATCACTTGTTCTCATATACTAGTACAAGGGTTCAACTACCTCAACTTCCGCTGCACTACTCAAGTCTTTTACAACGGGGACTTGGTCTCTGGAAAGATCCTAAGGGCATTTCTCAGCCCAACACAGGGGGTGCTTTATTTCGGCGGGTGTTATATCCGGGGGATTACGGTATATACCTGGTAGCCCTGGTAGGTAGGTATACATTTCTGAATGAAACGTATATTAAAACATTGAGAGATATACCGGTTTATTAATGATTAGACTGTACACTGTGGATTCAGCTTTCTCATGCGCCTACATTTCAAGCTCAATACCCTACGCAACCATTTCCCATAGATTCTCGTGGGACAGGCCCTGAGACAGGCAAACAGGCTCATCGTTGGCTGCCCCACCACCTGGTTTCGCTCGCAGGGCAGAGTCAGTGTCGATAGTCTTGTGTATCTCGACCAAAACCCATCGCTTCAAATTTATAGCCGGCATCCTATTCTGGACGCTGCTCGAGCCTGTTCCTCCAATCCAACCCCATCGCTTAAACAAGTAAAGTTCATTTCACCATCGTTTTCTGGTTAAGCCTTCGGTCTCCCGATTCCTGCTTTGTCGGGGTGCGTGTGTGGGTGGCCGATCGGCTGCCTGCCTTGCTCCCCCGCCAGCAGCATTGCGTGCATAGTTCGGCGCACATTGCATGGTTCATTGCATTCTTCCGCCTTGCCCACCACAGATCACAGATACGTTGCTCCTAGGCGCTTCTTCCTACGCCAAGTAGCTAGTAGCTCTGATAACCAGATTCGCGCGGGGCTCGCGGTGCGACGGAATCACAGATCGCGCCAGCACCATGTCCCTGCTCTCGACCCCACCTCGCTCGCCACGTCACGCTCGCTTCCGCAGCGCAGCCGTTCGTTTGAGAAGCACTCATCTCCCCCGCCACGTGGCGACCAATCAGCTCCGTGCTTCCAAAACGAAGGCCACCAAACGTGGCCCGCCCTCGGCTCCGATAGGCCACAACTATTTCGACTATAGGGCCAACTTCGGCGATGCGGCCGATCCAGAGCTCGGTGCCTCGCCGCCACTCACCACCAGCTGCTCACCGAGTTGGCTGGCCCGACTAGGGAGGTTTGGCGATCGAGACTTGGGCGATCGAGTCGGGTGTTGGTCTGGGAGCGTGGAGGGGAGAGTCGCCGCAGCGGTGGCACTACTAGAAGGGCCGTCGCCCATCAGAGTGGCAATCACGGGCTTTTCTCGCTCTCTCGCCCGCGATTAGCTTCGCTGCTGTCGGCTCCAGCGCTGGTCGAGCGTCCCTCGCCGCGTGACGAGCACCGCAGCCTCCCCGCCTGCCCGCCATGGCGTCCGCGCTGCTGCGCCTCGCCGTGCTCGCGCTGCTGGTCGCCGCCGCGTGCGCCGCGACGGTGGTGACGTTCAACAAGGACGGGTCGCTGTCGTTCGACGGCTACACGCTGCTCACGGACGGCTCCGTGGTGGACGCCAAGGGCAAGCCCGTCGCCGTCACCACCAACGCCGACGGCTCGCTGTCCGTAGCGGGCGTGTACTCGGCGTTCCCCAACGGCACGCTCACGGCGCCCGGCGTCGCCATCTACACGGGCGACCTGGTGGGGCTCACCATGGGCACCACCACGCTGTACGCCGACGGCACGGTCACGGACGCTACGGGCAGCCCGCTGTTCGGCACGGTAAACCCTGACAAGTCGTACACCGTGGGCGACGTGACCGGGTGGGCCAACGGCACCGTGGTGGGCCCCGACGGCGTGGTGGTGAACACGGGCCTGCCGCTCTCCGTCGACCCCACCACCGGCATGGTCAACGGCATCAGCCCCCCCGCCGCCGCTCCCGCCCCCGCGCCCGCGGCCCCTGCGCCGCCTGCGAAGGTGGACACGGTGATCACGATCAACCCCGACCGCACGCTGTCGTTCGCCGGCTACAAGCTGCTCAAGAACGTCACCGTGCTCGACGCCAACGGCGCCGTCGCCACGCCCGCTGCCAACGCCGACGGGTCGATCACGATCGGCGGCGTGTACACGGCGTACCCCAACAAGACACTCATCGCGCCGGGCGTGACGGTGACGTTCGGCGAGCTGATCAAGATCACGGTGGGGTCCACCTCCGTCTTCAGCGACGGGTCCGTGCTGGACGCGGCGGGCGACGCGCTGTACGGTACGGTGGGCAAGGACGGGTCGTTCAGCGTGGGCGACTTCAAGCTCGGGTGGAGCAACGGGTCGTTCGTGGCCAACAACGGCGCCGTGGTCCACACCAACCTGCAGCTCGCCGCCGACCCAGCCACTGGCATCATCTCCGTCCTCACGCCCTCGCCGCCCCCCGCGCCCACCGCTTCGCCGCCGCCCCCGCCCAAACCCGCTTGTGAGTGCCATCTCGATCTCGATGTAGATGCCGATGTCGATGTTGTTATTAGTGGTTGAAATTGGTGCATTGTAAGTTTGAGACGAGCTGTGGTGGAGTCGAGCTGTGGTGGAGTCTCCATCCTCGTTCTACGCACTAGTGGAGGCAGGCTGAACCACACCCGCAATGCATAATGCCACTCACCTTCGCCTTCCCCCTCTCCGGTCCCTCCCCCTCGCCCTTTCTCCTTCCCTGCGCCCTTTCTCCTCCCCCGCGCCCTTCTCTTCCCCCGCGCCCTTTCTCCTCCCGCCTGCTCTTTATTCGCAGCCGCCCGCGCCGCACCTGCGAGCTTCGTGGCGGCGGCCGTGGCTCTGGCCGCGCCCTTCCTGCTGTTGTGAAGCCGTGCCCCGTGCTCAAAGGGCGGGGGGGAGGATGAGGGCTCAGGGTTTTTGAAGGCTTGTGTGGTTTCATGGCATGTAGTCCTTTGCACGGCTGTTTAGACTGTCATGTGGGTGGCTGCCTGCACTTGCTGGCCTGCCTCTTGTGACCTTGGGAAATGTAGGCTACTCTGACTTAGAGCGTGTTCCTACGAGCCTCTTCCCAGGCAACCTCTTCCCAGACTCACGCATGACCTTGAGAGCATTTTCCCAGGACCCCTTTTTGGAATGTTGGGCTGAGAAAAAGCCCTAGGATCTATTCAAAGATTAAGTCCCACTTGTATGAAGTTCTTGAGTAGTGCAGTGAAGTGTTGAGTAGTTGAACCCTTGCACTAGTACGGTATGTGATAACAAGTGATTGATTAGAAGGTGTTGGGCTGAGAACAAGCCCTTAGGATCTTTCCAGAGACTAGGTCCCACTCAGGCCCTAAAATTCGTTTTGGGACACGCTGATTCATCATCCCTTCCTCCTGCATTAAGGCTGATTTTGCAGCCTTGCCCCTTGTTGGAAATATCTCAAAGGATTTAAGCGTTTCTGAAGTGTAACACTACACTCGAGGAAGATCGCAACGGGTACGCGAGTCAACGGAGGTTACACGAGGGGTTGGACAAAGAACACGAAGGGACTCGAAGGGTCGCAACTGGAGGTTGCGACCAGGCCCCAAATTGGTTTTGGGTCTGTCTGATTCGTCAGAGTCCACTACCTTCCCTTGGTATGGGTGTCAGAGTTGCCTCTTTGAAAAAGTCTGAAAAATCAGAGTAGCCTTCAATTTTTTGTCTGACCAATCAGAGTCATAGGCAAACTTTTGTATGAGCCTTTTTTATGGTTCTTCATTAGAGAATGCATGCACTACAAAGTCACTACATGCACAAAATCAGTCAATATCCTGCATATCTTGCTGCAGTGCTATCGGCATATCATTATCATAATCTACTTTCTCCTTTTCCTTCCTGCTGCTACAAGACTCGGGGAGGGCGTTGCTAAGGGGCTTCCTCTTCTTATAAGCCCGCCAGATGGAGACCACCTCTTGCCAGTCGGGGTCATACTCTAGCTGCGACATGCACATCAGATCTCCTAGCCTAGTATCCTTGAGAGCCCCCCGCAGCCAACTCTTGATGACGTTCTGGCGGGAGAACCCGCGCTCGCACTCGACAGTGCTCAACGGAAGGACAGCCACCGCCACCCACAAGTTGACCAGGTTGGGGTAGCTGTCCCTCCAGTCCTGCGTCTTTAGCATGGCGCTCAGCCCCGCGTGGAATGACCTGTCCGCCTTGGGAAGCGCAGCAAGGACGGGAACGAAGTTGCGGAGCTCGCTCTGGGCTTTGCGCTTGTCTATACCTGATCAGACAAGGGCACACAACACAAGGAAATGGAGAAGGGTTGGGTTATCTGAATCACTACACAGGGTTTACGAAAAGCCATGTGACTTGTTTCATATACATTGCGAGAGGGATACTGAAACGAGTAAACAAATTTACCTGGCAGAATTTCGTCCCTGTCTTCAGCGCGGTAGATGACCACGAGCGAGTTGAACCAGTCAAGGCACTGCGTTCTCCGTGCGTGTCGGTCCCAGTTGGGCGGCCATGTGTCGACGCTGAACAGGCGCGCTCCCGACAGCTGCCGCAGATCGCCTAGGCGCTCGTCGAGGTTGCGGACCAGGCCCTCCGCTAGAGCCATGCACGCCACGACACTCCCATCGTGGTCGCTGGGCCCCGGGTAGTCCTCTTGGGGCTCTTCGTGCAGCTCGAAGGTGAACCGTGAAGGTCGGCCACTAGCTTGGACTTGCCGGGCCCGTGCTTGGCGAGGAACCGCGTCAATCGATCGTTGGGCCCGCCGGTGAAGTCGTCTCCGCAGTCCACGTAGCGGCTCTCTAGCAGCGAGGTCGTGCGGATGATCTGTGCGTGCACCGTTGTGTAGTCCAGCTGGTGGGTAGGGGGGCGAGGAAAGCTAGGGCATCACAGAGGGATGTGTGGTTAAGGGACGAACGGCAGAGACGAGCAATATCGACATGCATGCAAAGTTGCAAACACAAGCATTAAACATATTTACCTCCCGCTGCTGAAAGACCTTGTTGAGCACGTTCAGCAGCTCGAGCACGTCGGCGAGGAACATCAGGAGGAGCCAGAAGCGGTAACTGGTGACGAGCGCGTACAGCTTGGCATCGTACTCCTGCAGCATGACCACGATGGCTGGTAGGACCTCGACAAGGCGGATGACAGCATCTCCGCGCGACAGCCAGCGGATGTTGTGGATGCCCTGGAGCTCGAGGTTCGTCGACATGAACACCTCTTGGAGCTCCAAGAATCGCTGATGCCAAGGGTTGGAGCGACCGAGCAGCTCAGCGATCTCGCGAATGATGTTGTCAACCATGCTGAAGACAGGGATCTCCTCAGCAGCAGCCTTTGCCGCCAGCGCCTCTCTGCGTGGGATAAGGGGATGAGATGCAATATAGGAAGCAAATTAGCGATTGGAATTATAAACAAAACAAGCAAATAAACATAGCACACAGCAAATGGTTGACGAACCGATGGGCAATGCAATGGCAAGAGACAAGGTGCGGAACGCGAAGACGAAGGTGGGCCACAAGTCCAGAGCGCGCTCCCATCATGACGGCAGCGCCGTCAGTGCTAATGCCAGAGATGCGGCCGAGTTCGACGCCAATCGCATGCAGATGGGACAACAAGAGGGCGAGTAGCGATGCCGCATCCGCCTTCTCCACCGTCAAATACAGAGCCAGGTACTCGGTTACAAGCCGCCCTTCCCGGATGAATGTGGCAAACACGATCATGTGCTTGCCACGGCAGCGATCGGTGCTTTCGTCGAGGCTCAGGCCAATGTAGGGACTCGCCAGCAGGTGTTGGAGTTGAGTCGTCTGTAGCCACGTGGCCGTCGCTTGTGTCAGTTCGCCGAAGCCGTACCTCTTACATGACACGCATAGTGCAAGTTGTTGTAAGTTTCATATCTAAAGACAAAACATAGCGAAGTTCATAGTCACTGGAGTTCTCACCAGTTATAGTACGTGCCGTAGGCAGACTTCGGGAAGCCCTTGAAACTGCGCGATGAGAGGTATCGCACCAAACGAATCCAAGTTTCCATGGGTTCGTTACACTTGGCGCAGAAGTAGAGGGAGTCGAGCAGCGCGATGACTCGCTCCTTCTCTTCGTCGGCCGCGCGGGGATGCAGGTCGATCCGCTGCTGGTTAGACGCCTGTTGCAGGAGATCGTCCTGCTTGGACATGGCGAGGCGATGCTTCTGCGTTCCGGCGTGCTTCTTGAACGACTGTGTCTGCACGTCCTTTGCTCCCTTGCCCGATTTTCCGGTACGCCCTGCAGGTCCTGCATGCACTGCGCATACACTACACTTGAAGGCCAGGAGCCCATCATCAGTTTTCAAAAGCATGAGCCAAGGGAATCTGTCAGACCAGCGAGATTTGAAACGCTCTTGGGCCTCAGCATAGATGTCCTCGTTCGTTCTAGCAGTGGACCTACCGCCAGATGATTCTGGCAAGTCCGCATGTACAAAGGGGCTCGGCACAGGCTCAGGCGGATCCTGGCATGTCGACGTTGAGGCGTACGGTAGAATCACCTGCCTGTACCGGAACCTCTTCGCCGCCGTCACCGACGGCGTGGTGCGGGCGAAAGGAGCTGAAGCAGTGGGCAGGGGGCTTGCATCCGCAGACTTCTTGCCCGCTGCATCGGGAACAGGTGCATCGCCATCAGCAGGGGCAGCGTCACCAGGCTTCCTCTGAGGGCTACGATCTGAAGCATCCGACTGCCGCAGGAACTTTAGTGCGGCCGGACCATCGCCGAAATTCTCGGCACACCAGTACTCTTCGTCTTGTTCGTCGTAATCTGCCTCGTCTACGTCCTCATCGAGGTCGACCTGCTCCATGGCCTGCAGGGGCGCGGTGGGAAAACAAACGCACTAAAAGAAAACCGAGGGGCTACACACAGCTTGGCTGAAGTTTTGCTGGAGGGGGGAAAAGCAGGGGTCGTTTTCCTCGTCAGTAAAGAACTGATGGAGAAGGAGGGGGTCTGCCAGCTGCAACTCCATCGCAGCGCGCGAGATGCTGTCCATGCATGCCTAAACCAGGCACTCGTCGCGTCAGCATGGGTGCGGTGCCTCGTCTGCTGTGCCTCACCCAGCAAAATGCCTCAGGATTGGCGAAAACAACCGTGTTTTGGTCAAGGACCAATCGGCTGCTCGGGCTATCTCTGTGCTGGCGCCATCGCACAAAATTTGCCCGCCCGACGGCTCGGGCCACGCCAGCGCAAATGTAATTCTGGTGTGATTGACGGTGACGCCAGAGGTACCAACGCAAATCTCGCAACCCCCCCTAGAATGACGGTATTACAGGAATCAGAGTCCCCCCCCATACAAGGATGAAGCATCAGAGTACACTTGTCAAAGAAGTATGAAAAATCAGAGTAGGTACATAAAACTTCTCTGAAAAATCAGAGTAACATAGAAAAAAAAGTCTTTGGAATCAGAGTACACCCCCAAAAAAACTCTGAAAAAAGTCTGAATCAGACTAAAAAGTCTGCAATTTGGGGGCCTGGTTGCGACTGACCGTTACAACTGCTCGGATGGTAACCAAAGCGACAATCGAGTCGCTGTGCGACTCGATAATCGCTCCTGCAACTGTATTCTACAACTGCTTTACTTTCCTATTTTCCATATATTGCTGTATGCTTGTTTCCTTAATCAATCACTTGTTCTCATATACTAGTACAAGGGTTCAACTACTCAACTTCCGCTGCACTACTCAAGTCTTTCACAACTAGGACTTAGTCTCTGGAAAGATCCTAAGGGCTTTTCTCAGCCCAACATGGTATCAGAGCTGGTCAGAGACCAAACTCCCAGCAACTACGCTCTATCTACAATCTGCAATTCAACGACTTCATTAATTACAAGCCATGGACAGCAAGGGCAAGAATATCAGAATTAGAGAAGTGTTGTTGATAGAGTGAGAGTACACACAGATATACCTAAGTCTTGTACCCTCTAAGAGGTGACCCTATACAGTCTATACAAACATGACAAATACACATGTTTGACACACCCCCTAGACTGCATAGGGGAATGTCCTAAACAAGCAGCTCAGGGCGGCACTACTAGTCCAACCTCTGAGACAAGGGTCTGAGAGACCAGTCAGAAGGAGTACAGACAAGGCGAGAACAAGAGCAAGGCGGCACTACTAGTCCAGCCACTGGGAGAGGACACAAGTCCAGTCTGAGTATACATATAAAGGACAGTACAAAGTCAAGGTCCTAGCAAGTGAAAGGCTACAGGAACTAGACCAAGCT